TCCCCAAGGACAGTCCCACGTCCCACACACGGACCCAGGCCAGTCCTGCCCTCAGGAGCACCTACCCCTGCTGGGCACAGCCATCCCTGGCTCCGACGGACCCGGTGTGCGGGTCCCTGCCCGTGCTCAATGCATCCTCCTCTCCTCTGCAGCACTGCCCTGGAAACATCCCAACTCAATTTGCAAGAAGATCTTTGCAGAAACCAGCTGTGGTCATGGTTCCCAGCTGCTGCTGCCGCCGCCTTTCCTCCCCACCCCCCCCCCCCCACTCCTTCCACAGCCTTCAAATTCCACTTGTAAACAGGAGTCTGAAGGTGCATACTACAGCTGACCATGCCAGCACTGACACAGGGTGTACAGGGGTATGCTACAGTCTCACCAAGTCTATCTATCTATCTATCCTATCACCCATTCCCACTTGTTCTCTTGACAAGCTCTAGTTTTACAGTTGCTCATCAGATATGGATCCTGCCTGAGTGCATCAGGCTGAGCTCTGAACTTGTATTGAACACAGATCTCAGTAAGTCTTTGCTGCCTGGGAAACAAACTGGCTAAAAGAACTGGGAATTCAAAGCCCTATAGGCTGCTGGTAGGAACTTAAAGACTGTACCTAGGACTACTTGAAATATTTCCTTAAAATTGCTTTTGAACAGGAAATTTGATTTAAATACCACCACCACTCTTTTTCTTTCCTAAAGGTGTCTGCTTTTGCTTCAGCCACAATCTGAGTGGTTTGATTGCCTCGTGCTCTCATTTTCATGCATGGTTTGTAGCCTCCTTCTCCCATGGAAGAAAAGGGAATGTATCCCAGGCAGCACAATGGCCATGCACTTGTGATGCACCCTCTCACAGTGAGGAGAGATCTCAAACAATGACAGGAGCTACTACAGGTGAGTTTTAAGGCACAACTACCAACCTGGATGGACCAGCTTTTCAATAAGTATGAGTTACCACTAGAATTTCCACTGGAAAAGTTTGCTTGCCTTAATGGGAAAAAATACATAGCCTTTTTCTTCCTAACTGACTCTACATGGTGGTGCATGGGTCACTGAAAGTGCCTGATGAAAAAAAAAAAAAAAAAATAAAAAAATAAAAAAAGAGGCAAAATAAAACGTGGTCTTCATTTCTTCCTTTCAGGTCAGTACCTAGTAACATTACAGCATTACAGAATTACTTGTTCCGCTAAAACCAGCTGACACCTCTGCACTATTCTCTGTAACCTATTCATGGAGAAACTTCTCCCGCAGAGGCTGGTAACTTCTGGATAGCAACAGAATGGGAGATGCTTGTCTAATAATTGTCTATGCCATCCTCATTACAAATATAAACGGTGGACCTCAAGGTAGAAACACAAGTCTTTGGCTCCACATAGACAGACCTGTCAAAAATGCATGTTCTGAAAGTCTTCCAATATGGAAGAATAAATCCTGAACTCTCAGTGAGATAAAACTGAAAAAGCGATAGATATTCATGATATTTTTGCTACTAAAGGTCATAAGGGATTAATATGCTAATGCCTTTTACATGTCAATTGTGTAAAGAGAAACTGAAGTTAAACCCAATCTTGCAAAACACCAATACCAAGGCTGAATAGTGGTACCATATGACAGTGAAACTAATGGTGCTCTCTACACACAACCACCCTCTCAGAGTGAATTCACCTTCTGCACATCTCAGCCAGCTGATACAGACTTCTTATATAGCCAATGAAAAATCACAGGCACCCCTAGAACACAGATCATATGAGCAGTTTTGGACATCTACAGTAGGGTGGGACAAATTACACTACACTGAACTGAGTCTGCATCATGGTTCCTAATTCCTTAGTTTCTGTAATGATGCGTCATTGATAGTGTGGTAGGATGTGAATAGAGGCAATTATTGCTTTTTAGCAAGATAGACAAAATAAACTTTTGTCACTAAAGATGAAGGGAGAAAGTTTATTCTTGTGACAGACTGGAATATGAGAGAGCATGGATCCAGAATGGAAATCCAAAGTGGGAGTTTTTTCTTGAGCTGATGGGATGGGCTGAGACAGGGAGTGCTGCTTCTTAAGAGGCAAAGCTTTCCCTGCCAACAGTAAGCACTGCCTGATTGCCTAAACTCTTCTCTCAACATTAAGAGCCTTCCATGGCTCTGGATCAGCTCTGAGCATTCTGCTTTGTGTAACACCTAAACATCATGATGTCTCTTTGTTCTTTTTGAGTATTAAAATAATTTCCCTATTGTTCAGGAAAACTGAACAAAACAAAAGCCTTTTTTACTGACCATATATCATTGACCATATATCATTCTTGTCACACTGTGTGATTTTGGATGGAATGTGAAAAGAGTTTTTAGAGTTCTGCCATCAGTTTCTATGTGAACCTGCAGACCACTGTATTTCATTCAGTTAATTTCTAATTATTAAGTTATATACTTAAGGAATGGCCTTGCATGGTCTTAGCTAATTGTGTAGCATTATACATAGCAAGATATTTTTCTGAGTGAAAAATGAATGAGCTGTCCTACACTACATAGTAACCAGAAATTTGGACTGAAGCCCAAATTTAGTAATAATTTATGTTTCATTAACTTCCCTGGAGCTTTAAGCTTCATTATCCCTGCTACCGACTTTATTATTAAAAATAAAGAGTCAGGCAAAATTATTTTAATATAAATAAAAGGGATTAATATAAATCCTAAAGGGATTTAATAATTTATTTTACCATAGAACAAAAAGAATAGACACTACTCCAAGTGCTCTATATCCCCTTTTATATATTTCCTATATATTTCCTACAACAAAACACAAACATAGGTCACAATAGTTTCTTTGTATAGATGTCGCTAACTCCATAAGAAAACATTATTTTGTTTCTTTTTCATATATATGCTGTTATTGAGGGTATGTAACACTATTTCTATCACAATGATTTTAGCAGGAAGCTTAGATCTGCAGTTGAGAATCTTGAATGCATTGCTCTATCTATAAGGAGACTTTCTGCGAGCCCTGGCTTGCAAAGCTTTGACTTGAGCTATTTAAGAAAAAGAAGGGGGGAAAAAAAAACTCTACTTGGCAAGAGCTTTAATTAGCAGAAATTTCCACGCTAGGAATATTATTCTGCATGAGCAGAAATTGCATAGCTCTTGCCTCTAGATGCCTTAGAGATGCCATTGATTGGCCATATTCAGAACAGGGGAATTATGTGACCCAGTGCTAATTTGAATTCCTTTACCAAACACATTTTTATTTCATCATCTCAGCTGCATAAAAGAGTCAAAGTACCAGAGCTTTAAAGACTTTGAATTCCTGCTGTTCTGCAATAAAATAAGGCAAGAAATATTAGCCATCCCTGGTTGATTCTTTAATTCTTTCCCAACAATGTCAAAGTATCAGTGTCCTACAGGTTTTAGTGCAGGTTAAAGACTGATACAAAGTGTATGCCTGAAAAGAAGTTTGGAGTGAGTTAAGGAGAGAGAGAACATTTTAATGGGACATTGGTCCAAAATAGCCCAGCTTGTTCCTACCTCCTGCTGCCTCTTCCTCCTTTTCACAGGACCTTGATTGTATAGAAACAGTACAGACAAAAACCACAAACAACAAAAGGTTCGCTCACACCCCCAGTGGAGGTCATGAGCATGCTACCATGGAGAAAAAAAAAAAAGCATCAAAGGATAGTTTGCCTTACTTATAAGCAAAGATTAATTAATAGGAGATTTGATACTTTAGCAATGTACATTTGGGCAAATTTGTATTTGCAAATTGTTTGTTTTATACATTCAAGGGGCACAGGGCAATGAGGCCTAGTGCTAATTTTAAAAATGAATCGAACCTTTCTTTGCCATGATCCAAAAATTGCAAACTTGTGGTTCAGAGGCTTTCAATAATATCTGCTCAGATTTGACACTCCAAGGTTAAAAAAAAAAAACCAAAACACAAAAGAGTTGTGTTATATACAGCAACAGTAGCTTTTTCCAACGATTTTTCAATTATTGCATTGTATACTCTCCAAGATAAGTAACTGTCTTGGCTACTAGAGAACAAACTTTAAAAATGGAGGCAGAATGAACAAATCCTACAAATATACCACTCTTCTTATAGATTGTTTTTAAAACTGCTATTCATTATAGCAGCATTTATATCCACTGGGTGACTACAATTCAAAACTACCTGTGTCACATGATGAATAAGTGCAACATGCACCATTTACTTTTAAATCAACCCCCTCCGACCTAAGCCATGTAAATCTTTCAGAAATTCACATTAGTATTCTCTTCCTTCAAATCACACATAGAAATAACCCAGTGATGAAAGTTTACCCATGCACAGCCCCTTTAACCTCTACTATTTAAGTATCTGCTTGGAATTATCAGTGACCCTTGTTGCACTCTTGGCTAGTTCACACTGGGTCTTCTAGAGTATGGACCCACCGGGGACTTCTCTTTTCTCCGGGATCCTTGAAACAAACACTATTCACAGGGTTGCCTTTACAAGACAGCACTGTCAACTCTGCCGATAGAAGCAGCAGAGTCTTCCACTTTCGGCACGTATGTGCGCACCCTTCCCTTGTCATGCTGTCCCCGCCATCCACCCACCCTCCCGACCTTTCCTACCCCTTGCCTGCCCGCTTGGTACCTATTTGCTCCTATCTTTTAGAAATTATTTCCAAGCCCCCCCCACGCCCCCGCTGGCGCAGGCAGCCAAGGTGCCGTCCTGCCGCAGCGCTCGATGCCGCAGCGGCGGCAGTGACATGTGCCTCCCATCGGCGGCTGGGCGCTAATTAATTTAGATCCTTTTCCCGCTAAGCTTTAAGGAGCGGGAATGCCCAAAGTCAGAGGAATGTAGAGTCCCCTCCCGCGAGTCCCCCTGCACCCGGACCCCCGGAGCTACCCCGGCTCCGCCGCCCCCGGCCCGCAGCTCCTCGCCCCCGGGCCCGGGGATTGGCCCGGTGGAGGCGGCATCAGCGGCGGGGGTGGGGGGGCCGCCCCCACCCTCCCTCCTCCCTCCCTGGCCCCGCCGCCCCCTCGCCCCGATGCGGCAGGGCCAACCGGGAGCCCCAGACGCAGGCAGCGACCGAGCCGCCGCCGCTCCGCGCCCGCCCGCAGCATCCCCCGATGGCCGCCCGCCTGACCTGCTGCCTCCTGCTGTGGGCCCTGGGCCATGGGGGCTGCAGCTCGCCCGCGGGGGAGGGCGCCGGCAGCCCGCCCGCCTGCCCCGTCCAGCCGCCGGCCGCCCGCCACTCGGCCGCCCCCGGGCGCGACCCCCGCGGCGGCTCTTCGCCGCCCCCTGCGCTGGGCAGCATCGCTCAGGACATGGTAGCTGTCCACATGCTTAAGCTCTACGAGAAGTACAACCGGGAAGGGAGCCGGCCCGGCGACGGCAACACGGTCCGCAGCTTCAAAGCCAGGCCGGGTAAGACGGGCCGGGCGCAGGGGGCACCGCTGGAGCCCCCTCGCTCCTCTTTCGCTTTAAAGTGATGGGTTTGCGGCGAGGTTGTCATGGACAGCGCGGGGTGTCACGCTGGGTGAATGCTGGGGAGACCTTTGCTAACTACACGGACAGGGTGTCTCCCCTCCGCTCTGCGTACGGCTTCCCATCTCCCCTGGCTCCCTTCCCTCCCCCGAGAGTATCTTCCTCGGGAAAGCCGCCGTTGCTGTGGATGCAAACCATCGGCAAAAGAAGCGCCGTTCCCAGCGGATACCGCACTGGGTCGAAAGATTCTTTCAGAAATACTTGGAGCATGAAACTAGTAGAGAGTGCTCCGGCCGCTGGTCCTCTCCTCCGCCTCTGCTCGCAGGCTCACAAGTTCCTGCTAGGAAGAGTGCCGCCTACGGGACCGCCTAAAACTGCTCGGCATCTTAAATACCTTGCTCTGCCTAAACCTGAGAAGACATATGTCTGACCTCCCTCTTCCCAGTTTTATGTGGCTTATTATGAGGGTGGAGAGACATATATACCATGTCAAAACTACACTTTCATTATCCCAATCTTACATTAAATAATAAAAAGGAGATTTGTGTAGCTAATAGCCCTTAAATTTGTTATTCTTTGCCAAGGACACTCAAAGTGTCTTTTCTGGAAAACATCTTTCTTCTTTGGCTAATTCTTACAGTCCATACTTAACTATAACTAGCTCTTAAAATAAGAACTGTATCAGTTTCTAAAGCTAATTGTTGTTACCTCATCAGAAATATTCATTATTCTTGTTAGACAAATCTGATGGATTGAAATTCACAAAAGCAAATTTTGAATTAATCTATTTCTCCTACATTTAAGGTTCGTATATAGAATATAATGCAGCATACAGTGTTTTAGGGAATCATTACTATGATACTGCACAATAATTCATATTCTCTTGTGCACCCCAACTTAATTTCTATCCTATGTCAACTGTAATATTAAAAAGTAATCATATTGAAGGACGAGGAGACTCCATGGAAGGATAAGAATGAAATGAAAATGTCTATAATTCTGGGAGTTAGGATGTGAAGCAACTGCAGACATTTGGGAGAGAAATAAATTGTCGTGCTTTAGATCATTAGCTAGTGGTTAGGAAGGAACTTCCACTGTGGATGGTTATTCCATGACCTCCTGCTAACTTATTTTTCTGTGATCCAAGCAGCTGATACTGGCTGCTACCCAGATAAGGCCCTGGGCCACAGGACAGATTTGGAAACAAGGCAAGAATTGCACTACATTCTTTTTCTTCATTTTTCAGTTAATCTGATGAACAAGTTACTTGCATCTAAGTACTCTAAGTTGTAAGTCTAATTCTAATTTGAAACAATAAATTAGCAGCATTTTCTACCCAGAGGTAGACTGTGCTGGCCAGTTACAAGTCAATATTATTTCACTCATTTTTCAGATCATGAAACCAAGGCAGAAAGGTCTAGAAGTAACTTGTCTTTCCATGCAATGGAAATAAGGCACACCTATGTCCAAAACTCCTGTCTCCTCTGTCCCATCTGTGTACCTTCTCTACTGGATCCCACCTCTCTCAAGTAACATTTCATGAAAGCAGAAGCTCCTCTGCAGTGTTCCTTTGTTATGACAACAAATTGTATTTCTTTGTAATTCCTCAAGCAAGTGGTGAACACTCTAAAATTAACCATAGAATGATGCAAGATGAGGGAGGGGAGAAGAACCTTATTTGATAGCATGTTTATCTTCTCTGAGAAATTATAGTGTTTTTTTCTGAAAGAAGAAAATTGCATGTTTTGCTAAGAAGATGTTGAACGTTCATTCTTTATAAAATACGGATAATAATTCTGATCCTATTGAGATAAGAAAAACAGACTACAAATACAGTAATTTTCTCTTCATTATCCCAAGCAATGGACTTACTTCTTTCTTTTTTTCTTTTTATCATATACCTTTCAGAAAATTTGTACTTGTCTGTTCCTGTCCTGCTGCTTCAAGCTGTTTGTTAGGGCACACTCAGGCATCAGTGTTACTTATGGTTGTCAAGATGAAGGCTCCAGAGATACGAAACATCATTCCAGAAATTTATCCACTGTCATATGCATTTCTGAGGTCTTCTAAACTACCCAGTTGTATTGCCATCCTACATATCCCTTAAGGGTTTACATGGTGTTGACTGAGTTACTGAGCGTGTAGTATTTCCCCATACTCAATGTGAGGCACTTGAAATGTATGTGCATCTGCTATTTGCATGTGTTCCAAATACAACTTCTTTTTTTTCAGTTCCTGTAGCAGTGCTTCCCACTTCAGGAAGAGTACTTCACAAACATCTGATGACCTCCTCCCAGCTCAGTTCTGTGTGTGCTCTCAAGAGTTCATTATTTCTCTGATAAGCAGCTGAGAGACAGTCTAAGAACTAATTTCTCAAGTTTCTTATTTCTTTAGGTGCTTTACAGTTTTTAGGGAATTTTGTAGCTCTAGAAAACAGCAGCAATTGGCTGACATTAGTTACTCTGTCGTTAATTGTTTATGACCAAATGTGAAATATTAAGGTATTGTACAACTTCACCTAAATTGCTCAGATAGGGGTGAATTAATCTTCATGGCAGCAATGTGCTACTTAAGCCTTCCCCATAAATTGACTCTTGCAGCTCAAGCTTACTCCCTGAACACGATCAATCCTCTGTGCTAAACAAAGCAAAGACCTTTGTGAATAGTAGAAAAAGCAGCCATTTAATTAAGACTATATCATAATGCATGTGGGCAAGAAAACCAAATCAAGATTAACCAGGGAACTGTAATTCTGGCTTCTAGAGCCTTGCTTTAACATATTTTCACCACTGAAAATAATTTAAATGAGGTTCTCTGCATATTTTTTTCTCACAGATGTGTTATCAGATGTGTTATGTACCATGTAAATCTGTTTTGCTAATCTTCATTTACTGCAATGCAGCATTCTTCCATGTGGGCTACATACTAAAAGCTAGTATTTCCTTTCTTTGGCCACTTGCCTTTTTTCCCCTACCAATCTCTTGCTTGTATCCTCCACACAACTTGCCTGTATTCCTGACTTGAAGATGTCTACAGTGTTTAGAGGCAGATACAATCAGCCTCTTAGTGTATACAGCTAGCAACTTTAATGTATACATCTAGTACAGTTCAACTCAAAGTAGACCTGGAAAATGTAACAATGCATTGTTGACAGCTTGGTAAAAGCCTGAGTGAGCTCAGGATCACAGATTCTTATTCTGTTCTATGAAGAATTTTGACTTTCGAAGGGTTTGTTTCACTCTAGAATGCAGATTTTAGATTAATTCAACCTCTCGTCCTCTGAGTTATCATTATAAGTTACTTTCCCATCTGAAACACTGAGACACTGATGTTTGAAACATCTTTATCCTAATAATGCATATGCTTCATAGCCATATCTATAGTGCTAGAAGCATTCTACTACTAAAAGAAATATTAGAAAATTAAACTGTACACAGCTCAAGTGAAGAGAAGCAGTGGATAGACTTCTTTTTAAAAACATATGCCTTCTGAAATGAACAAATATTAATAAATCCTGGTGTTCTAAAGGGAGTACTACAATTACTCTCTCGCTTACCCTGAGAAATAATCAGTAGCCTGGTGACACTTCTGTGCTTCAAAGACTTGAATAGAATCTAAACTCTTATGTTATTTCATAGTATAAACACCTGTGCATATGACTAGGGTTAATTAAAAGCTTACTAATAGGAATCCATTGACAGAAAAAAACAGGTTTTATCACAGAATACTGTGTTTCTTTTAGCCTCTCTGCCACTGAAACCATTATGTGGGCATCAGTGCAAGCTGTTCCACTTCACTGTATCAGGAACAAAATACAGATGATGTAGATGGGAATTGCGTATTTGAACATCAGACTGTCTGTGTGGGCAGGGGCTTAATGAACATGCTAACCTGCTGTTCTTTAGTCCAAATGATTGTTCTATCCAGCATTAACTGGGAGACAGCAAGCACCAATTTTGTAAGATGTAGCACTATTAATTTCCCTCTTTCAAATGAAACTGTGCTTAAAAGGAAGAACGTTCTGACAGGTGGCAGTTAATAGTACTGCCTTTCTGTTCTCAAAATTTCTGTGGCTCCTCCTCCATAGTGCATTGAAAATGCACTGTGTGTTTCTGGGAAGCCTGCCTATGGGGTTTGTTGGTTTCTGTTTGTTGTGGGGTAGTTTTTTTCTTTCTTCGCCAAAGATGTTTCAGGTATGTCAGAAAGGGCTCCCAGAGGGTTGGTCCACTTGGGTTAATTAAAGATGCAAACTTACTCGCTGCAATCCTTTGATGCATTCTAAGTAGCACTCTGAGCTTGGGAGAATAAGAATCAATTCTGCCACCATTTTCCCATATACTGTTGAGCTAGTAAAAATTTTTTAAAAAGTAACTTTTCACAATGATAGACTGTGAAGGCATTGTCTTTTGATTCTGGGATTACATTTTAACACTCTAAGAAATATTTCTACTGTTTAAATAAACATAGTGTAAACAGTTATTAGTGTAAAATTGTTCCTCTTCCTTGAGTGGACAGTGAAGATGTAAGCTGAGCACAAATAGTTCAACTAGCTAAAAAGAAGCAGTTTCAAATGGAGTTTGAATTTTAAGAGTCAGCTCCTATTCAACAGTAGTCGTCACTAACTTCAAGCAGATCAAAACAGAAGCCTTAGAAACCAAGTATGTTTTACAGTGCTTTAAACAAAGCACCTACATGATGTGTACAGGAAAGGAGGATTGCTCATAGGAGTAACAACCCCCAAAATGTGCCATACTACTTATTTATCAAGCCCCCATGTGAAATGACTCTTGTGCACTGTTTACAGACAATGAACTTCATATGCTGTTCCCCACAGAGTTAGCACCCGGAGACCTTTGAGGAATCTGCAGTCAGCTTTAGATTAGACCATCTTGAATACTAACTGTAAATCTGATTTCTGCTATTATACTCAGCAAGGTACTGCTCTGAGCTCTGCCACAGGCAAATTTGACAGCTTCTCTGAGCTTGACTTTGTTATAATGAAATAGAAGGAAAGACTGCTTTTCTTGCCTGCCTAGAATGAAAGGCACTCTGAAACTAAAAATCTCTGGGAAGAGTTTTATCCCTCATATGTACAAAAGATGCCCAGTATGGTGAACAGTCCAGATATTATTGTAATATTGCTCTTAAATATTTAAGAGGGTTTTTCCTCTTGTTCAACATAGTTTTAAGTTGAAGTGATAAGCTCACTATGCTTAATGATTTAAGTGAAAAGTAAAATTTGTTAATTCACTTAAATGGAAATAAGGGTTTGACTGCCATTTTTGGTCTCAGAAATATATTTATGTTTTTCTTGCTCTCTTGCAGAATTCTTGGCCCAGAAGCCCTTGTACTGCTTCAATCTGACATCTATGCAGGATTCAGAGATGATCCTTGCTGCCAGTTTTCACTTCTATGTTGATAAACGCCCTCGGCACCGGGAAGTGTTTTGTAAGCGGTCAAAGAACTCATCCTGCCGCCTCCTTCACCTGCCTCCGGCCCTCCGGCTCAACCTCATTTTCCAAAGCATCCACCAGAATTCTGCCTATGGACTAGTTAAAGGGAACATCACTGTGCTTCTTCAAAGGCGAGGGGCTTGGCATGTAACGGACATTTCACACATCGTAAAAGAATCAAAAAGGGCTGGAGAGCTCATTCTCTGTGCCGAGCTTGATTCTGGGGAGAAACATCAAGGCTTCCCTGAACAGGTCACCAGTCATTTGCCTTATATACTAGTTTATGCCAATGATCTTGCAATCTCTGAACCTAACAGTGTGGCAGGCACCCTACAGCGTTATGATCCATTTCCTTCCAATGATGGGGACCCAAATCTGTCCCCTAATGCTTCTACTGATACTCGAGTGAGGAGGGATACGTACCTCACTAGCTCAATTCAGAACAATGAGTTGCCAGAAGTACATTATAACAACAATAAATACAACAAGCATGACATATGGGAGAACGCCTACAGATCCTTGAAACCAAAAGCCTCACGCAAAGATCGAAGGAGAAAAGGGCAAGAAAATACAGAAACATTTAAAAAGTCACAGGTGTTAAATTTTGATGAGAAAACAATGAAGAAAGCAAGGCGAAAACAATGGAATGAGCCGAGGATTTGTTCAAGAAGATACATGAAAGTTGACTTTGCTGATATTGGCTGGAATGAATGGATCATATCTCCCAAATCATTTGATGCCTACTACTGTGCAGGGGCATGTGAATTTCCAATGCCCAAGGTAGTATGTATTTTTATTCTTGTCACTTTGCAAACAGTAGGCCTACTGTTCTTCCTATCCAACTACTTCTTAAGTTAGATTTTCCTTAAAATTTTTACCTTTTTCACTGTGTTTTGTTGCATTGTTCAACCTAAATAATTTAAGCAATATTCCATATGCCAAAGGATTCCAAGTTTTCTTTAAAGTTAATCTAAAGAATAAGAAAAATATCTCAGGTTTATCATCCAATTTCTCATTTTATATCTTGAAACCATAACATAAAGACTTATACAGCTTATGAAAATATGGTCACACCCACTAAATCATCAAAGTACTCTATTATACTTGGAGAAGTATGAAGTATTATATGCTGATAATAAAACAAGCTACTCTTTCACAGTATTTCTCTATTCCACTTTAGAAGAAAAATGCAGAGTAGTGACACTGAGGTATTTTTAACTTTAAGAAACTGGTTGTCACATTTGAAAACAATAATGCTGATTACAATGATATTTGTCTACCAAAATTCTAAATACTTAAGTTAATACAGCTGGAACAAAAAAGTTGACTTACCTTACGTGGCTGGAAATGCCACATAGCTGTCTCTAACACTCCAAGCATACTGAATTCCTCCTATAGAAGTAGTGTGAAATTTGCTAATAGAGAGGCAAACATTTGGCTCACTCCCACTCTATGTTCTATGGAAAGAAGTAAAAATTTTGGTAATCGTATGTAGGACAAGAATTACCAATATTTTATAGGGGTTTCAAGTGATGCAGAGGGAAGGATTTGAAGCACTGCGTAAGATGCATATTTAGAAACTGTCATTATTTTGCAATTCTACCTACAAATGGCCTGATTGTTTATTCTACTGACATTTTTGCTTGTGGTCATTCGACACATAAATAATGGATAGTGTTTTACAGCAGAAAATTTCAAGGCTCTGAGACAGGAATCTGCCCTACTTTATATACAGGGAGACTGATGTATGTTTGTGTTGAAACAAGTAGTATGATTTCAGGAAGAGTAGATATGCAGGCTAGTTTTAAGTCCAGGAACAGTGAAAATCCAGACTTCACCGTAGGGTGCACAGATTTGGCAACGTGTTCTTGTGTAGCTGGCCAATGCTGAACCATGTGTACATAAATTGATACACGGTCTGGCAAAAATTAAAGCTTGCACAGACTCACATACAACTTCACTTCGTTGTTGTTGTTGTAATATAAAGAGGTCATGCAACATAATCACCATTTAACTTATCTAAAGCAAAACACAGCCTGGCAATATGGGTTATTTGCCATAGACCCACAGTCTAATGCACTATTCCTACACAAGAACACAAACCCAAACCAAAAAAACCCCAAGCAAACAACTCCACCCTTCAAAAAAGATGCATTTGACGCATTTGGTTTCTTGTGAGCAAAACAGCATAACACAAAAGCTGCCAGGACCATAAAAGAGAGGATCCATTTCTAGCTGGAATAGTTGAATAAGCTTATATTGCTCACTTATTTAACATCTTATCTAGAAATATTACTTGCTATATAATAAAGATTCCTTTGTAAATTAAAACCACTTACTTTAGTTCTTACTTTGAGACTTGTTTTCTATATAAATTAATGTGACTGCACTTGTATCTTGGTGCCCTAAAGCCAAAACAAGCAAAAAAACGCCAACAACAAGAACAGCAACAAAAAAATAAAAATACAAACAAACAAACAAACAAAAAACCCCAGAGTAACTAAATCACAGATCCATAGATGTGGGAATTTTGCGTTTGATAGATTCATTGATTGGCTTTGCTTTGGAAAAGGTCTGCTCTTTGTTAGCTTTGTATATTTAAGAGGGAAAAAAAGGAGGCAGATTCAAGAGTGTGGCTTTTTTTAATGAGTGTTTCCAAAAGAAGAGCAATAGCTAGGACTGAAGATTCAGTTCAGAGCATAAGAATTGCTAAATATTATGGAGGGAGAAATACCTTTTGCTCTTGCATATATGCTCTAAGTCAGCCAAGTGAGATCTTGGCTCTCCTAAGTAAAGATCACACTGAAGCTATTCATGAAGATTTGATCTACACAATCAACCTCTAAGGGACAACAGATACCTTATTTCCAACTGCAGAGACAGAATCATATACTTGTCGTGTTGAGAATCATTACATTGTATGATTACTTTTTTTTAAGTATCAGTACCTCATTCTGCACATTTACTTTAATGACTGCAATTCATAATTTAGGTACACAACAGCTTGGGTACAAATTTTGTGACAGCAAATTTACCTATCTGACTGCTGAATTTCTTATTCCCTGAGCTGTGAGGAGGAATAATAGGTTATATGGCTGGCTGCAGTGCTGCATTTACCAAATAAATTCAAGTCCTACATTTGGTAGAACCTGATCTGTTGTATATAACTTGGCAGCCAGCATTTAAAACATTAGCATTTCCTCAGTGCTATCACTACTGGGCATTCCACTCATTATTTCAAGCTTTCTACTTTATCACATTGGTACAAAGGCTAATGTGAAGCCTAGCCCATGACCACTGAACACTGATGCCAGGTTTCCAGAAGCGCTTATAAAATTCAGAGCCTGGCTGGATGCGGGATGGGTGTGCTGTCTGGCTCTGCTGTCAATATAGGGCTCAGGCAGCCAGATTTTGTACAGAGTACTGGTCCATCATAAGCATATTTCTCTCTCAGCATTTTTGTGTATAGTGTATCCACTTGCAGGCATTAGAAACATAATTAGTGCTGTTGTCTTGGGAGGCAGCAGCTCACACTAGTCTGCTTGCATCTGCTTGTTCCTTGCAGATATTAGATACTCACAGCTGGAGAAGATCCTAGTAGGATCTTCTGCAGGTTCATAGCCAGGAATCATGTAAGTCAGTAACTGGCACTGAGGGCAATGATGGTTATCCACTGCATGGGGTCAACAAATGCTGTTTCAGTAGCACATTGTGATCTGTAACTGCTTCAAATAACAATATGAAATAGCACAGGCACTAGGAACACTTCAGGAGGTTTTTCATAAAGGCTAAATTAAGAACTTGATTCTAGAAGCCCTAATTCTTTGAATTTTTAAACTCTGCAGTTGCTTAAACACAAAAAGAACTCCTTCTGTCTCTCTCTTGCTGTCCAGATTTGCTGGCATGACCAATGTGGATAGAAGGTGATTTCTGCTTCACACAGGAGCTATGAGACTACCTCACTGCTGCTTGTCTGTGCACAGCTTTGAAATCTAAAGATGAAGGGAGACAAGAGAGACCAAGCTGTTGTTAATTATGCTAACATATACTAATGAACAGATACTAATGAACAGAAAGGCACTTTGCAGGATTGGTCACTTGTTAGGACTTGGCTATAGGGGTGCTGTCTTGGGGCCCCGAAGGGTCAAGGATGGATTTCACAGTTCCTCCTTGTAATGGCTTAGTTAAGGATGATCTGAAAGCCTTAATGGCAATCAAGATTTGTATCTGATTTGCTGATATGTTACACTTAATGTGAATGTATCAAAACTGAATTATACTGAAAAATAGCTCCTTTGTTCTGTCCATGGACTACATAACCTTTCATATTGAAGTGGAAAATCATGTTTTGCATATACTTATATATTTGAAAAAAAGAGAAGATACAGGAGACAATAATTCTTCTCACTTGAAGTATCTAATTCCATGTGGAGGTGTGCAGAGTCCCTATCTGTTGTCCCACAGATGTCATTTTCCACCCAATATACTGCTGCGTACCAATAGCGATGAGAGATTCCATGTGCCACATACAGCAGATATGTGCAGATATGAGAAAAGTCAGCAAAAAGCCTGATATGACTAACACAACTTTCTTACTGTTATTGTAGTCATTTGCTGGGATAGTATTCAAGCATGATAACTGAACAGGAATCACTGAAGCTTCAGCCTCAATGGTGGACTGCTTGCCATGCTATTGCCTCATGAAGTACACGCATTCCATGCTATGCTGAGGCAATGGCAAGGATCTGTCACCAGTAAACCTGTGCTTGACTGTATGTAGTGTAGCTTGTGAAAAAAAAAAAAAAAGAGTTACATTAAACTACTAAGCAGTATACTAGTTACATATCTTAACTTTTTCCTTTCCTTGTTCTTACTGCTCTTATGCCTAATGGCTGCCTCCTCTATTCAAATGTGTTGGTTTTGTGTTGTTAACTGCATCCAAGAATCAATAGTAGGACTAAAATTCTGGCTCAGTACCCTGAATAGTGTATAGATGTAAAGCTGCAAGATTTTTTATTATCTTCTCCCAGTTTTAGGCTTTCTTGGGGCAGGGAGGGCGGAAAGAAAAATAAGGCCGGGTGAGGAAGGTAGAGGGAAGCAAAGATCACAGGTTGTTTGACTATTCTAAACTAACTCCTTCCTGTGGACACTACTTCTGGAGTACTCTGCTCTTTTAAAATAGAGTAATTACTCCTGGAAAAAGTAACTAATTCTAGGTTAGCATACATGAGAAGAAATTCTATTGGAACATAGGGATAGTTATTTTGGAAATAGTTACAATAACCCATTTTCTGAGTCAGACAAGAAGTTAAGGAAAAAAAATATAACATCTTGCAACTGAGAAGTATGGCCCACCTTAGTCTTCTGCATGTCTGCCTCCAGCATCTAGCAGGTACATTCAGGGACATTCTTTCTTCAGGCTGCTGACTGCTGGCTGTGCCACCAGTGCCCTCCTCTGGTATTTATGAAGGCAGCATAAGGGACACAAAATATCTGTTGGTTACACCCAGCACAGGAAAGCTGGAAGTCTGAGGGACTGACTGTGCTGCATCAATCACGTGTATTTGCTGTATTGAGAAACAAAAAGCCATAATTGTCGTAATTTTCCAAGTCCACCTGAGGAAGCCACTGCTCATAAATGAAGCTATAACTATTTCCTTCTCTGTTCCAGATTGTCCGGCCATCAAATCATGCTACAATTCAGAGCATCGTAAAAGCAGTAGGAATCATTCCTGGCATCCCAGAACCCTGCTGCGTTCCTGACAAAATGAGCTCACTCAGTGTCCTGTTCTTAGATGAGAACAAAAATGTTGTTTTAAAGGTATATCCCAACATGTCAGTTGAAACTTGTGCCTGCCGATAAAGTTCATACAAACACACCTTGAGTGAGACCCACACATCCTGCCTGACTGTACTGGAAAGTTGTAAATGAGAAATGAATCCACTTGTGTTGATGAACAAATGCAAGTCTACAATTCCTCTACAGAAAGCGTGCGGAGGGACTAAAATGATACATGTGCTCACCTGGAAGGATATGTCACACTGCCATCATTTGGCCTTCCTATTTATCTTCCAGGAACTCAGTACTTTTACAGATATCTTCCTAACCCACCTAGCCAAGATACCTGGTGTTTAGTGAGAAATTTAAGTGTAAAGTTTTCCATAATTAAAGGACTAAAATATGTTTCTATATGCTATTTTCTGACTATTTTATCTCTTCAGTTAACCAAGAAGATGGGAAGTGAACTTGGAGAGGCAGGCTTCTTTTAGAATATCACTTTTGTACAAAAATCAAAACTTTTTGCCTAAAACACTCGTACTCTCTCTCTGCATATTTATACTGAAAAGTGCTGTAATAAAGGGCTTAAAATGTATATTTTCTTCAGAATGCAAGTATAGTTCATAATTTTTTATATAAACCATATGTTAACATAGCCATTTTTGGTTATCCTTCCCTAATATATGATTCGTTCTACAAAAGACATGTAATATCCCACATTTTTGTTTTGCTGGAGAATTTCAGGTTGTTAAACATATTATCTGAGTAACACATACAATATAGTAATATGTTGAAATACTAAAAATAAAATAACCAAGATTTATATTTTTGTAAATTATACTTTATATCCTCTAGATTGTTACATGCTTTTAACAAAAGCTAATAAATTAAAGGTACAGTAGTATCTAAAAATATTTGAATTGTCTTTCTATAAATGTACTCTCTTGCATTCTGTTAATTAGATGGAAACATGTAAATACATGTTAAGCTTGTCATAATGCACTTCAATAGATTAAAGACAGAAGAAAATACTATGATCATCTAGACTGACCTCCTGCATAGCACAGATCAAAGAACTTTGCTCAGCAGTTTCTGCACCATGCACTATGGAACTTCTGTTTTGAGCTTGGGAATATCTTTGAAAAACATGCATAAATTTGGCTTTAAAGGTTTCACGTGATAGAATATCTCTACCGGACTACAAGTAGTTGTTCCAAAAGTTAGTGCTCTTTGTTCATATGTAGTGGCTTAATCCTAGGCTGGATTTGATGATCTTTAGCTTCAGTTCAATGGATCTTACTGTAACCTATTATATTAGATCCTTTTTATCTATTATACAAAATACTTTCACTGTGTATTTTTAGTGTAGTGAGTAGGGTCAAATTACATTTTGGCTGAGATTTAAATAGATTGGTTTCTTATTCTAAGCCTCAAAACAATTTCTCACAGTTCTCTTCTGAACTCTTTCCAGAACTTTCATTAACTTTCTTTTCAAACAATGAACATCAAAATGGAAAACATTTGGCAGTGGTTCCTTTAGAAATCTTTATAGAAACAAAGTCTCTGTGTGCCTCTAACTCCTGCACAATCCCCTGTTGATACATTTATGGTAGCCCTTGTAAGTGCAGCACTCCTTCAAGAGCTAATGTTCCATCATGGTGTCTGTCAGTCCTCTTTCTCAGTGTCCCTGTGTGCTAGGTTACACTTGCCACATACTTCATTTTCACCCACCAGCTGTACAATAGCATAAGCAGCACAAGAGTGGAACAAACTTCTGAAGTCTGTGAGGTGGCACATAGTGCAAGATATGGAGTGTTTCCTGCTCAAGAGACAGTCTAACCTTACGCACAATCTTATCCTTAAGAATTGCATTGTTTAGGGGAAGGATACTACATGTACTACCTTCTGATGAATAACTGAAAGGCTCCTATCCTGCTAAGGTGCTATGGAATTTCTGCTGCCAATATTCCATATTAAGGTGGTGCAGATTCCCACCTCTTGAGAGGTAGTGCCTCTCAAGGAATACCCTTACTACACAAGGAATACACATCTCTTACTAGTAAAGCTTATTTCATTTGGACTTTAGCTGTACTGGTCAATTCTCTAATGCAAACAAGGTCTCCTACCGCTGTTCGTTTAGTGGTTTAAGCTACTCCTTTCTGGACCTTTGGTATTTGGAGGTCCAGTCTTCATCTGGAAAGAGAAACTTTGCATTTGAAATGGCACAAGTGCAGTCAGCTGGTGCCAGAGGACACTGATACCGTTACTCTCTTGGTTCCAACAGATCTTTTTATTTCTATGAACATACTATAAACCATTCTGCTCAATGTTTAGGTTTCTAGAGGAAGTTACTATTGACAAACACAGGTCAAGATAATTCCACTAATTAATCCTAAAAGAACTGAGGACATACTATTATGGGATGATTAAAGACAGATAAAACATGGAAACAGCTGATACTAGCCAGCAAAGCGTTAAGGACTTTTTTTCCCAAAATCCAGTTTCATTCTTTGAGGCCACAGTTTAATTGCCAGAGGTAACAGCTAGAATGTACCTAGGTTTTTGTGGAGTATTTCAATTCACTTGCATGAGGCTGCATAATTAAAAGAAACCATTGGACAATGTTAATATATTTGTGTATCACATGAACTAGCAACTTTCTCCCTCCAAACCTCAAATTACAGCTTTCAAAAGGAATTGCCACTGAATTAAACCATTCATTGTAAAGTTTCTGCAAAGCTGACACTTGGCCTGACATTATGTAACATCTTTATGTATGAACTAGAAGTCTGTACATAGCAACGCCCACAGCATTTTCAGAAGGAGAGAGGTGAGATGGCTTGATCTAGCTGCACTTTATGTCATTAAAGTTCATTTTAGAGCAGACAGATGCAGAACTTCAGGTACCTCTGCTCAAGGCATGGAGGCTGCTCCTACTGAGTAAAGGCTGCACCCTTGAAAGCCGTAACTCTTAAAAAAATTTTTGTGGATATCATGGATGTATGGTGCAGTATGAGCATTCAAGGTGATGCTATGTAATGAGAGCTAATGAAAGCTTTGAAAAGATACACACTGGAATAGTGAACCACATAAGGAAAGATTTGATTTCTGCATGTGACACTGATGGACTGACACCAGAAAACCACGTATAGCCCTGGGGTTCACCTTTTCAAAAAGACATTAAAATTCTGAAAGAGACACATAAAAGAAAACAGTTAGAGAAAATGTCCTATGTGACTGAAATGAACAATCTGTTTATTTTATCAGAAAGCAAACTGAGAAGTAACTTGATTACACTGCGCAAGCACTTCAACAGGGAGAAAATGTCAGCACTATGGAACTCCTTAAACTAGCCAGAAAGTTACAAAAATTCCTGTCTAGAAGGTAAAGTCAGGCACAGTGAAATAATAAATGAAGCACCGTGGGGTTTTTTAACTGTAGGTGATTATTTTTTGGAGTAAGTGCTATGAAACTGAAGAAATCTTTGATTCTTTGACATGTTCAGGTAAAGTCTGGAGGCACTTAAAAACTTGTGTTTAGCCAAACACAGGTAATTGGACTATGAATGCAGTGGAAACACAAAGGCCTTGAGTAAAACATAACAATCTTGCTATGCAGGACACCAGCGTCAATGCCAAATAATCTATTTTGACTTTATGTCATAAGAACATAATTAAGCAGGATATTGGATCCAATTATCACTTGAACGGACACATAAGTGAGAATTTCAGAAGTTTGGGATCAATTTAAATGCTGTGTATGCACTGCTGGAAAACTAGAGAAGAATGGCCTGAAAGAGCAAAATATTGACTGCATCTTTGCAATAAACAGCTCATAATACTATTCAGACTTTATGGCACGTGTACAGTGTGAATTGACTTGTGCTTAGAAAAAATTATGCATTAATAGTACAGACAAAGCAATTATGTATCATTAGATTAACTCATAACACATTCATTAAGATAAATAGTGATATTTTTGTCTCTAAATAGACCTGGTTTTTTTCGTCTGTATCGTGAGAAATTAATTTGCCTTGGTCCCTTCTTTTCATGGATACAGTATCTTCATAGATAATCTTCTGTATCTTCAGAAAGACTTCTTACTTTCCGTGTGGCCTCAGAAGGCCTAGTTCTGTCTTCATTTTGAGGTCAGGGAAAAAATGACGGGTTGTCCTTGGACTGGATTGAGATGATGAATCTATGAAATATATTACATAAGATACTATAAAAACAAGGCTAAATTCCCATACACCAAAGGAATCAAACTGAAAATGGACAAGCCTGCAAACAACATGAAGCAAATTTGACACAAAACAGATATTTCACTGTGTACAAACAATAGCTCTTGGCTGATAAACGGAAACAAGTTTTAAGGTTGTTTGTATTGTCATGAGATCATGTATTGCAGAATCACGTCTCCATCAAATGACTGGGGATTTTCTGATTGCATATCAAGGGTCTGTAAAAAAGATTTTTCAGATATTATTTGCTAATAGCTAATAGAGTGATTTTGTTCTAGATCTCTATTTTCTAGTCTTGATAAAAACAGTGTAATCTTCTACGTCCCTAAGAAAGCTTCTCTCTGTGTTGGCAAGGAAATGATAGAAGAATGTAATTAAGCAAAGATGACCCTAAAGTGAAATGTGGATTCTTTACAATATACAATGTCCTTCCCACCAGCCACATGTGTTTGTCAGATGTTTACAGAATCTTCATTAACTAAGAGCCTTGCTAGATAACAGAAGCTGAAGCATGGCATCAATGACTCTGATAAGGGCAAGTGTACGACCAATCTGCTTGACAACTGACAAGAGGCTGGGGTTTGAAGCAGACTGCAAAAAGAGCACAAGAAAGTGATTTGCAAAGGGCATTCCAGTTGTTAGCCTTACATCTTCTTTCCTCTGTCTGTAATGAAACAAGACTGTTAATCAGCTAAAATACCCTTGTCCTCTTGTCTCTCCACCAGAAAGTAAATATAGAAGAAATGCATTGTTTTGGAGTATTAGCTGCACTGTCTGTTTTCAACATCATTGCTTGTTTGACAAGAGGCAAGCCTTTGGAAGACTGGGACAAGTTATCAGCTATGGGAAAGTCTGATGCACACTTTCATGATCCTGGGGAAGTAGAAGATGAGTCCCATTTTGACTTTAAATCTTTCCTGGAGAATATGAAGACGGATTTACAAAGGAGTTTGAATTTGTCAAGAGTTCCCTCACAAGTGAAGACTAAAGAAGAACCACCACAGTTCATGATTGATTTATACAACAGATATGCTGCAGACAAGTCCTCCATCCCTGCATCCAATATTGTAAGGAGCTTCAGTACTGAAGGTAGGAGAAGTCCTAAATATGTGGACTAGAATTTTTAAAGTTCATGGACAGCAGATACTCAGACTCTTTTGAAATTCAGAAGAAACTGAGTACCTGACTTCCACAGATTCTGTAGAAATGAAACATTAAAATTTTGGATTGTATGCTTGCTCTGTAGTTTTTTTCAATCTTTAAAAAATACAATTACCTTCAGTTTTCTTCTTTGATATTTTCACTGTACAATATTCTCTTCTCAAACACTTCAACTGACATGATGGACTGTATAACAGTTTACATGAATCATGTTTCTCAGCCCTAGATATTTGGAACTGAGTTTTTATGTTAGAATGCAAACTTTTGATCACCTATAACTGAGACAGCAATGCTAGAGAGCTCTTCTTTCAGGTGGGCTCTATGCATATTTAAAAAATACAGCAACCAATTGAGAAACGTGTCTCTGGATCCAAGAAAGGAACAGCAGTGCTTTTCCAAAATTCTGGATTAGACAGAAAGATTTATATGAAAATGGGTAGTCATGCTTGTCTCAGCTTAAAATGTTCAAGATTCCTGTCTGTGTAACATTAAATAGACTTTTAAAAGCTCTATCAAAAGAAGCAGTAAAAAAGTTGTAAGCAAATGCAGTCCTTGAGATAAAAATGAAACAAGGAGAACTGAAGTTTCTGTTCATATGAAAAATAGACATACACAGGTAACAGCTCTACAGAGAACTTCAAATTCCCAAATTAGTGGCCCTAGTCCTGAAATGTAAAGGAACCTTAACAGTATGACCTAGATTATATTTTCATTTCTCACTCTCCTCTCTGACTGCTTTTGTGGGTAAATGCTCTGAAGAAGCGGCAGCAATAGCCAAATAAAATTGCTCTAACACCCAGTCATGATTAAGCAGCTAGTTTACATTGAGCATTAAATAGACATCAGTGATGACTTCTAAACATTGCCAGTTTCATCTTCCTGACAAATATCTACCCCTCCCCAGGCAGAGTTGCTGGTACTGTGCATAGATTTGCAGACAACAAACATATGAACAAACCCATACAAGTTCAGTCTGGAACAGACTGGGACCTGGGCATGAAAGGCTGTTTATCACCGAGTCCCAGTTTAGATAGACCCTGAAGCTTCAATTTAGGATTTCCAAAAACTTTTCTATTACCAGAAATGCCCAGTAATCCAAGCTGCTTTCAAAGTTATCTATAGACAGCAACAAAAGCCTCAGCACAGGTAGTTCTTAAAGACACTTAAATATGAATATGAGAGCAGTTCATCCGGCTGCATGATAATAAGAGTAGGAAATTCATAGGGGTTTTGAGGAATTCTTTGTGTAAGAATATCTTTAGCAAATTGCTAAATCTAAAAACTGTGCACATGCCTTATTTATGTAGTTAATACTGACCAGCATCATCCACAGTTTGTTCTAGGCTGCCTCTTTATGCTCCACACACTCACCTGGCTATGCAATCTTGGTGAAATACTACCAACATCAGGGGCCTCCATTTCCCTTTTCACACTCTGCCCTTGAAACTTGGCCAGAACATAGTATTTTTTTTTAATGCTGTGTCGCCATGCTCTTATTTTACCCCCAAAATACATCCTGAGTCTTTTAAAAACAAGTTACTTGGACAGTCAGAAGCACTGTAACCACATGCTTTAATTTCCTATTGCAGATGTTGTTTCTTTAGGTTCACCAGAAGAAAATCCATTTCAGAAACACATTTTGTTCTTCAACATCTCTATTCCACAATATGAGGAAATCACCAGAGCTGAACTGAGAATTTATGTCTCCTGTCACAGAGAAGCTGAGTCTCTCTCTAGGCTGGAAGGCACCATGGTCATTTATGATGTTCTAGATGATGGACACTGGGAAAACCCAGAAAGTACCAAATCTTTCCTTGTCTCCCACAGTATCCAGAAGTGTGGTTGGGAGATGTTTGAAGTGTCCAGCGCTGTGAAAAGATGGGTCAGAGCAGACAAACTGAAGACTAAAAACAAGCTAGAGGTTGTTATAGAGAGTAAAGTTCTGAGTGGTTTCACTTGTGAGAAGCTGGATATCAGTGTTGCCCCGGATGCTAAAAATCTGCCCCTGTTAATGGTGTTCTCCAATGACCGCAGCAATGGGACAAAAGAGACCAAAGTAGAGCTCCGGGAGATGATTGTTCATGAACAAGAAAGTGTGCTAAAGAAGCTAGGAAAGCACAACACTTCATCTGAAGAGGACGAACAGGGAGAGGAAAAGGCCATCACTGGGCCGCACCAGCATTCCTCCAGAAGCAAGAGAAGCATTGGGGCCAACCACTGCCGGAGAACTTCCCTCCATGTGAACTTTGAAGAGATTGGCTGGGATTCCTGGATCATCGCACCAAAAGATTATGAGGCTTTTGAGTGTAAAGGAGGTTGCTTCTTCCCTCTGACAGATAACGTTACCCCAACGAAACATGCTATTGTCCAAACTCTGGTGCATCTCCAAAACCCAAAGAAAGCCTCCAAGGCCTGTTGTGTTCCAACCAAACTGGATTCAATCTCCATTCTTTATAAGGATGATGCCGGTGTGCCTACTTTGATATATAACTATGAAGGGATGAAAGTGGCAGAATGTGGCTGCAGGTAGCATACAAGGCAGAATCTCTAAGAATAAGAATACCCCCTTTTTCTGCTCTGTGTAAATCTGTACAGCAGCGATGCAAATGAAAATCCTTGCAAACAAGGTTTGGAGCAGGGTATGGGGCTGCTTTGGGGTTTGCTGCTTGTTTTAAAGGAAAATTGTCATTTAGAGAATGGCAATTATTGTAAATAGCCAGCATTACATATCATGGCAAAGTGAATACTGGATTAAAATATTGTGAGATTGAATGAACTATACATTATCTGCCAATGTGATACAGTTTGAATACCTTATTTCAACCTTTCTGTTTAATCAATTCTGTTTAGATCACAAACGAAAAGATTTTCAATGGAGATTTAGGATGTCCAGCAAATGTTTAACAGCTATTGAAATCTAATTCTCTCAGCCAACTCTGACATTTTCAACTTCTGTAAAACTCTGTAAATGGAATGTAGTCTGCATGATAAAGTCAGGAGTCTAAATCCAGGAAGCCTTTTCTCATATCAATAATCTCAGAGGCTTTTACACGCAAATTGTTTGCTCCTGCAAGTGAAGATTTGCAGTATTCAAAACAGAAGAGACTCTCAGTCTTACTTCATTCCCAAGTTTCCTTCTCTGGGTAGCAGGTGCCTTAGTTTCAGCTTTCTTATCCTCAACGTCCCTATTTTTACCCCTTTATGGCACATACTTGAATGATAAGAAGTGCAGCCTTCCGCTTCTAAGACACTGTTTCCTAGGAGGAACAGCAGCCCTTATCTCTGCACAAAGATAAGGAACCACTTTGACCTACTGCATATTCTTAGTATTTCTTTGCAAGAACATGCAGTCAAATGACGTTCAGCCTTAGAAGCTGTATCCTAAGAGCAGTGGGGGTTGGCAACGCTCAGCACTTTTGAAAAGCCCAGGCTACTTATTTGGAGGTCTAAATACATTGCTTGGAGTCTGACACAAGGTTCTGGGGTTTTTTTAATTTCTTCTTGGGAGAAACTCCATTTTATATACAAAATTCTTTCACCCCTTAGAAGTCAGGGAAAATCAGAAAACTTTCATCACTTTTCTATGAAGCTTATGCTGCTGTATGAGAAATATACTATCATACAATATTTCTCCTGACCAGTTGTATTTTCACTAGACAAGGACCCCATCTTTCCCACAATTAAAGTAAACTTCCTTTGATGCTAATGAAGGTTTTGCCTGTAAAAGAACAGATAAAGTGTCTACTGTTGGTTGCAGGTGACAGGTTTAAGTGCTGTACAACGCCACCATGGTCCAACTCATGTCTACTCCTTCAAATACACGCACACACACACAGAATCTGTCAGAGAACACTTTTGAACCAAACCCACAACAAGCTACACATCCATTCAAAATGGTGAAGAATATTGATGAGGCAAAAATCTAAACAGTACTTTAATATATGGAAGCAATAGGATTTAAATCAATACATACGTTTTAAATTAGGACAGCATGTGGGCAAGACGAATTCATTTGGCATGAACAGATCACCTAGAAATCTAATACACGGTTTATTTACTATTGTTAACTTAATACAGAGCAAACAGCAGGTGAGTGTGAGCAGGGCAGTTGTAATCATCAAGAACTGCTGGTTACATCACAAACCATGAGCACAAAGCACGATTCACCAGAATCCTTTAACTGATTTATAGGTTTTTTTTCTTTAGAACTTGTCTGCAATTGGATCACATCTGAGATCTGGATCCATGCAAATTCCATCCATCCATAGCTGCAGGTCATTAACCTCTTAAACTTCCAATGGAAGTAATCATTTTACCACTCCCCACTGGTTTCTGTCATCTTACAGTCATAGTTGTGTCTTCCTCCTGTCAGAACCCCCTATGTTCTCTCCCTGTTTTGTTCATGTCACTTAAGCTCCTGACATTTTGCTCTTGACAACTTCTCTTAATCAAGCGACAGAAACTACCAAACAAGCACTTCATGTGATCACATTAGAAACATTAGATCACATTAGAAACATTAGATCACATTGACCTCTATGTATGTCAAGGTAATTGTAGCTGTGTGCTCTTCAGTCATCTAAACACAAAGTCCTAGTTATATTCTGACTTCACTTTGTCCATAATCACAGGAAAAAAATAGGGAAGGGGAAAGACCAGTTCCCATACCCTCACAGAGAGAAATTCTCAAGAATAATTTTTTTTTCCACATTCTGAAGTCAAACATTGATTTTTATTTCCCAAGCTTATTTGGAGCAGGGGGGGAAAAAAAGGACCCAAAGCCAATTTTGGCTCAAAACCTCAGATCATAGCTATGCTATCTGAATTCCAGAGGAGCTCTACAGATCCCGTCCCAAAACAGGACTACAAATTGTTATTGTATTTCAATTTATAAAATCCATTGAGCTTCCAACGAGCTTTAATGATCACATTCCCATCGGCTTAACATTTTGGTTTGTATGGCAGTAAAATGAAATATGAATCTTTCCATAGGGTGATGAACAGGGTCAAGAAGAAATGAGAACCCAGTGGTGACTACAGCTGCTACTACCTTCAGCATGGCTGAAGTGCGTGTCAAATTGATGTTTGGTTTTACATTTAGCAGCTTGATTTATGTAGTTTTGCACATCCAATTTTAAATAACTGTTTAAGCTCCCTCATGTTTCAATTGCTTTGGGATGCAACAAATCAGCCAGGTGGCCAAGCCAGTGCTAGAGAGTACACAGGTTGCAAAGAGCAGGTAAGAACCTTGTCCCCTGTTTCAAGCTGTGCCCCACTGGACACTGAAAAAACCCCCCCATCATCACTGGATTATGAATGTTGACCAGCAGCTTGCTGCTCCTGAGGAGCAGGTTGGGGGTTGTGCACTGTTCAGCAGATGCACAGTTAAAATTAAAACTTATTTGTTTAACATAGACACAAGGCTGATGCACGCCCTCCTTCTCAGGCCCATTGGCTATCTGTGCAGCAGTCCTGTAACATCAGAATCACCTGCTGACTCCACAGCCAGTTTTAAGGCTAACCTATAGCACTTCAGTCTATAGATAAACATGGTAAGTTGGTGGAAGCTGGTCAGGAGATACAGCTGGGGCTATTTTTAACTAGTTTCCCACCTTATGTATGTACACAGCAGAAACAATGTCCTCTGATCTCATCCACTCCTCCATGCCATGTCCCAACACAGAAGAACGTCTGCTGCAACACAGCACCAGCGATCACTGAAAATAAAAAGATCTCCATTTTCACTATTCTTTTCTACAGGTGAAGAGGGAATCTGGAGGTGTTTGGCTGGTATCTGCTCAGATGCCTTTATGCTGTAAAGATCCTGACAATATAGAAATAGTAATCTAGAGTTAACAATTCCTGATATTCAGAATAAAAGGTTTCAGACTGCCTCTCAAGGAGACTCATCATTTCCGACACAACTGTGTCCTTGCACAGTTAACGCTGCTCCCAGACCACAGCTGATTCTTCTTTCCAGACTCCTCAGAGCCTGGCCATTTCCACATAGGTCATGCACTTAGGTGCATGGTCACCCATCATGTAGGTCCACATAGTCACACACCGTGAGCTCCAAGAAATATCAGTACCTTGCTGTAGCTCCTTATAGGCAGCACTGAATCATTTTTTACTGCAAAGAATTACAAGGTACAGGTGGGAACACAGAACACGCTGGCAAAGCGAACAAGTAGTAAATGAACAATGTCTGTGAGACAAGACCCCATCCTCAGACTGCATAACTGCTCCACATCCCCTCTGGCTGCTCTGAACAGCTAATGGGACACTACATGTGACTACTAAACACATACCTTCTCCCATGTTAACTCCCCGATGTACCATTTGTTGGGTGTTTAGCAGAATCAAAAACAGGGCAGGTCTCTCCTCAGTCTCTAGAGTATGCGGGGCCTGGAGCTCTGCCCGCTGTCAGCCAGGTGGGAGGCTCTGCCTGCCTGGGGTGCAAACCTCCTTTGTGACATCTCGGCTTTGACTGGGGCCCACAAACCACCTCAGAGCCATATTTTGGCCTCTCTGCAGCCTTCAGTGCTTTCTCCAAGCCTTGCCTCAGTGCCACCTCCAGGCTGTGGCGGGCTGCTGCACTACCTCGATTCCCTACACAACAGCCACCTCCACACATTTTCATGCTCTCCCGACCATAATACCTTAAAACCTCTCATCATAAAGGTGTCTCCTGACATCCCACTCTGGGCTGCCCACAGCCCCTTTTGCCCACTTCGTGTCTTCAACCTGCCTCACTGCCTTGTCTGTGCTGGCTCCTGCTTCCAGGCTGCCTCAGGAGCATGTCATCCCTCTGGGCTGCACCTGTTTCTTTTTTGTCATCTCCCTTAAAACTTCTGCTGGACCATCAGTCATAATTCATCTAAAAGCCTCACAGGAGGATGGCTTCAGCATAGCCCTAGCAAACGGGTTGCCCCGAGTCAGTCCCCTCGCTGAAGCGTATGGTTTGTCTGGAGCCTGGCATACCTGCCATTAAGGAAAGGGAATATTAACAAAAAATCAAAAATCCATCACATTTTTAATTTAAGTTTTTCTTATTACAAACGTGATCGTTAAAGAACTCAGAGTGCTATTTCCATTTTCATAAAATGGAAATATTTCAATATTAAAAAATGTGAAAGAAAACTTCCAACAGCTTTAATTTTAGTCTATACAGGTTTGTACGGCATAAGAACTGAAAACCTAGGGACAGAAATCTAGTATTACTTCTTTTGGCATGGGAATTATAAAGAAATCTGAGGGTGATATTCATTATTTTTATTTCTACGGGGCTTAGAAAGCCTACTCAGGAACAAGGCTTTCTTTGTACCAAACAGTACAAGAACAGAACAGAAAAGACAGTCTTAGACCATACCTATTCAATCCAATCATGCCTGTCACAGACAGCCATGAAGTAGTATTGACCCAGACTTGTACATCTATAAAAGGCATTGAAGGTTTGTCTAGAAATACTTACCAAAGTCCTGGAGACATTAAATATTTCATTAGTATAGTCCTATGCTTGAGCTAATAAACCCTATGTTTCAGTATTTAGGAGCCAGATATCACCTTTACATTAATTCTAATTCATACATATAATTTAAAATATGGCTGTATTAGAGGGGTCCACTAAAACCAAAAGTAGTTTATTTCCAAATTTTACCTTTATCCTGGTGGCATCTCTGCCGGTTAAAAAGGTGCTCTTGCTGCCACCTTCAGATAAGCCTCCTGCTACTGTGGTTTACCAGTGGCCAAATGTCTACATGCGTCTGATGAGAGAATGGTGAAA